CTGTGATTGAGGGACTGGGGTAGACTTCCAGAAGGAGGTGGTGTCCAAGCTAAGTCTTGAATGGAGGGATATAGGCATCTTGGTGAGAAAAGAGTGCATTCAGAGAAAGCAGGTGGGAGTACATGGTTAACATAAGAAGACAGGGAGCAGAGGTACCAGGCAGATACCAGGGTGCCTTAAACTTGAGCTAGGCTTAAAGGGCTTAGCCTCTACCCGCCAGACACTCAGGAACCATTGGAAGGGATTTAGCAGCGGGTGGTGTATCAGATTTGCCTGATAGAATCATATCTTCAGTAGAGAGATGTAGGTGGAGGGTGGGAAGAAGTGAACAACTGATGCAGTGGGAAGGTGGCTGTCATTGTAGTCCCAACTCCTGGTGACCCCGTGCAGAGTGGAATTGAGGCAGGCACAATGAGCTGCTCCAGAAACAAAGAAAACTAAGGAAGTGAAAAGTCTCCCTGGGGCAATACCTTTAACCACCCCACCCTCCCAGCTTCCACCAGCGGCTAACAGCCCCAGTGAGCAATCCCTGCCCTATAAAGAGTCAAGACCCCAGGTGTGGGGCTCAGTCTCTGGACACATATCCACTAAGCCACGTTTTGGCATAATGAAGTTCTTCCTTTTATCTCACCCACTTGGCGGTGGTAGTTTCTTGGGAGCGACTTCCCTGTTCAGTGCCATCCCCATGATGGGTTGCCTATTGAGTCAATGTGATTCACAGGGCTTTCACTGGCTGATTTGGGGAGAAGATCACCAGCAGTGTGTCTTCTAGGCAGTCTTACTTTGGCATCTCTGCTGAAAGCTGTTTCCTGGTGTAGTAAATGCCTACTCTGCGCCTAGCACTAACCTAGAGAATGTAGATATATTAGTCTGATTCTAATTTCAGCTGTGCCTCTTTTTTGAACTTGAAACCCCAATGTCCAATTGTCTACTTGATTCTTCTGTCTTCTTATGTCTAAAACAGGGCCCCGATCTCCTTCTAAACCTGTTCTATTTTAACTTTTAAATCATCTCACTAAAAGTCAACTCTATTTCTCCAGTTTCTCAGGCCTGAACCTTTGAAGTCATCAATGATTCCTCTTTCTTTTCCATGTTTTAAGACGAATCGAATCCATCAGTAAATATTTCTTACTCTACTTTCTACTAAATATTCTAAAATATTTTATAGACTCAGAATCTGACTGGCAGCCACCGTCCTCTCTCACTGGATTGTTGCAATCATTTCTAACTGATTACCCAGCTTCCACTCTTATCCCCCCACCCCCCACCCCATCATCTACTTGCAATACCTTAGCCAGGTGATCTATTTAATGTGGAAGGTAAACCCTTAGCCCATACTTCCAGAGGGCTCTCCATCTCACTCAGGAGAAATCTGCAATTCTTACAGTGGCCTCCAGGGCCCTGAAAGAGCTGATGTTAAGGCCTCTGCTGGCCCCACCCCTTGCTTGCTGGGTTCCAGTCATCTGGACCCTTTGCTGCTCCACCTCACCAGACACGCTTCAGACTCAGTGCTTTTGCATTTGCTATTCTCTCTTTGTAGAATGTTCCTTCCTGAAAAACCCACATGGACAATTCCTTCATCTCTTTGCAGCCTCCTGATGTTAACTTGTATCAATGGCTTCCTTGAAATAGGCCCTTAAAATAATAGCCTTTCCTTACACCTCTTCATAGATGGCACTGATTGACCCGTATGTTAGGTGCCAACAAGGCACTTCTGCCCCATAGTGGTCCCAAGCCCAGCAGAATGAAAGTTGCCTGGACCTGGACCTGCACCGTTCTCGTAATCGTTGCTGTCTGAGGCCATTGTAGCGGCCATGTGCCAATGCGTTTTGGAAAGAGACCAGAGAAAGAGCCTGGACAAACTGGATTGATACAGGTGCTGCAACTTAGGGTTCAAGTAAAACAACAATTATGACCACGGCACAGGACAGAGCAGTGTTCAGGCTGTAGGGTGGGTGGGATAAAATAACCCAAGCAAAGTCTCATCAGACAGATATTGCTATGCTCATAAAAAAATGAGGATATACATTGTTAAGATGGACAAAAAGTTCCTCGGCACAACTTCCCCAGCCTTACTCTCACCGATGCTGTTTTTAATTTTCTTAAAACTTCTTCCCGATAAGCCCCATCATTGTCCCGTGTCCTTGAGAAAACCTATCAAGATTACCCTTTAGCATTCCAAAAAAAAGAAAAAGCCGTTTGCCGTCACCTTTTGAGTTGACTTTTCTACTTGGGCTATAACTGGCCGAGCGGGTCTCCTTGGAAAGCACTGCTTTGATTGGCCTTTTTGGGGGAAGGCGCCTAGAGACTATGACAAGAATGTGCCCGAGGGGATTTGTCTGCAGCCACCCACGGATCACAGAGATACGTCTAAAGGCCTTTTCCTTGGAATAAGCACGTATGGACAGGATCTCTATCGTAATAATTTTGCTGGAACCTTGTATTTCTGCAGAGAGAGGGTGGGGTGCTATGAGATAGAGGGATAAACAGAAAGATAGCTAGCTGGTCCTCCACTCCTCCAACGTTTTTTTTATTTGGTTGATTCAACGCTGCATGTGCAGGCCCTAAAACAGCACCTGGTGGTTCAAAGCAGGTGTCCAAGAAATGCATTCTGAATCAAGTAATGTTTTGTTTTTAAGAAAAGAAAGTAAACCAACTCCACCCTTTACAGTTAGAATTCACCCACATTTCCCTTTCGATCTCTCCCTCCCATGCTTTGAGCAGGAAGAGTTGCTTAATCAACTAACTTAGCCCTTAAAAAGGTTACTAGCTGGGGGGAGGGCAGAGTGCAGACCCAAAGCTATTCAGTAACCAATTGGAAATCTGTCCGAAGGGCCACAAGGCAGAGACAAAACATACAACTTTCCTCTAGGTCTTTAATGCTCCCTCCCTGCCCCTCCCCACACCTTCATGACCCCAATTCTTCCTTACAAATCTGGCTAGACCAGAACATGTACACAGGTACAGTTAAGAGCTCAAAACACAGGGAATCCAGCAGAGGTAAACTCCTCAGGACCAATAAGGAGAGTAGCAACACTAGGAGGGTGAAGGTAAGGGAAAGGGGGGAGAAAAGGGGGCGTGATCACAATGATCAATGTATGGCTCCCTCTCAGGGGGATGGACAACAGAAAAATGGGTGAAGGGGAATAGTGGTTGGTATAAGACATGAAAAAATTAATTATCAGGGGTTCATAGGGGAGGGAGGGAAAAAATGAGGAGCTGATCCCAAGGGCTCAAATAGAAAGAAAATATTGTGAAAAGGATGATGGCAACATATGTACAGATGTGCTTGACACAATGGATATATGTATGGATTGTGATAAGAGCTGTAAGAGACCCCAATAAAATAGTTTTTAAAAGGTTAGAAACTAGCATAACTTTTGTGCAGTAGTCTCTAAATTGCCTCGTGTTTCACCTGTTTTTCTGCTCCGACCACTGTTAGTTGTGCCTGACTGAGAGTTAATAGTCACATATCTGTCACTGACAAACCTCAGCCCCAGCTCTGTGACTTGCCAGCTCTGTGACACCATTCTGACCTTTAAAAAATGGGGCCAATGACATCAACCTTACAATGTTTTGTGGACACAAGAAGAGAGGCCCAAATAAAAGCTCATCCCCCTTTCTTATAACCACACAACATCTACTCAGCCTGCCGTATGGCCACCTTAGGAGAAGGCAGAGTTTCTCAAAAGGTACTGTGTGGTGGGGGGAGGATGGGAGAGAGAAGCAATACAAGCGTGCCCTTTCCCGGGACTGTCGCCATCTGTCACAGGGAGAGTGTTGATCTAGGACAAACCCATTGCTGTGAACTGGCTTCCGACTCACCCGTGTGACCCGTGTGAGTTACAGAGTAGAACAGGCCCCAGAGCGAGCGTTTTCTTGGCTGTAATCTTTATGGTTTGCCGGGCTTGCCTTCCACAGAGAGGCTGAGGTGGTTCTAACCACTAACCTTTGGGCTAACAGCCAATAGCCATCTGCTTGTGCCACCAGCGGCTCTATCTGGGACAAGGGTGGGGGGGGTGGTGCTTTCTCTGGCCGAGACTGCTACAGTGGGGCTTCTGCCCCGATTTAGAGGCCAACCTGTGGCCAAGGCAGGCTCATCCTCCGCTGGAGGAAACAGCGTGACTCAAGACACAGACTGAAGGAGCTATGGAAGCAGGATCCGCCCCATTCTGGGAAAGAAACGGATTTATTCCTGTGGGAAGAAGTGAGCAGTGGGGAGTCGGGGAAGGCAAAAGGAAGACGTAGTCAGCCGGGCAGAGGAATTCCCCAGCTGTGCACAAAGAAGTCTGCCTTCCAAGGAAAGAAAGCCCACCCCGTTGGCGCTAAGGTACTTCCCCACTTTTCCTAGCTGTTCTGGCAACCAGCTCTCAATAATCCCCCAAGCGAGGCGCTCTGGTAGCAATCTTCTGATGCACCTGGAAAACCTGGGCTCACCACGTGGGGGCACACTGGCCCCAGAGCCCCAGCTCCTAAGGAGCAAGAGCCCAAGTCGAAAGTCAAGGACGCAGAGCAAAAGAAACTGCACACCTCCTTAGCTTTCCCTGCGCTGGGCCGGGGGTGAAGGGCGGGGGTGGGGGTGGGGGCGGGCACAGGTCTGCCCAGGAGCCCCACACATGGTCACCGATGACACCGATGACAAGGGCCCAGGAGGACAAGTACACACAGACAGATGCCAACAGGTGCTTCAGAGTCTCTGGGGATAGGTTAGAAACCCGGCTCCTGAGCTGAGAGCAGCACCCACTTCTCTCTCACCCCCACCCCTTTCTGACATTTCTCAGAGCTGCTTGTCCCCTCACAGGACACAGCGCACACCCTCCTTCACGCCCACCAGCCTGGGAGCAAGGCCAATGCCAAGGGCCCAGCAGGAACACCACCCCACCGGCGTGAGCATGTCTCTCCCCGGAGGCAGGCGGGATGGCTTCGGACCCCTTCTCCGAGACGCTCTGTCGGAAGAGTCCGACGCCAAAGACACACAGAAAGCCCCCAGAGCGCCTTACCACTTCCATGATTTTCCTCCGAGGCAGAGCCTGGTAGACGAAGCCGGCTTCCCAGAGCAGGATCCTGTGGCTTAGCGCCCGCTTGGCTCGCCCTCTGGGAGCCAGGGAGCGGTCACCTGGCCCGGCTGCAGACACACCTACGCCCGGGCTCCGCACCCACCCCACCTGCTCGGCGGCTCCTCCCTCGCCCCGGGCTGGGGTTTTCTGGCTGGCTGAGCCCCGGCGGGCCCCCATGCCGCTGCCAGACCTGCTCCGGAAGGATCGCTTGTGGGGACCCAAGGTAGCCCCTCTCCGAAAAGACCCCCGACCCAAACCCTTCTCGGCCATGGCTCCACTGTGCTGCTTCTGCTAACCCACAAGCGGGGTCTGCTAGCAACTCTTTAGGGAGTTGATCACTTTGTGCCCAAGGCACGGGGGAGCGCCCCGGAGTAACGACTGCTTATCCAGTGGTTGATACATAGTGCCCAGGCTGGACAACGTCATCTCCGTTCATAACAACCTCCCGCCAACTCCCCCGGTGCAGTTGGCTACTTCTCTTTGCAAAGCACTTGCTCGTAGGCACGCACACAAAGACGAGCGGGCCTGATTTCTTCAAGGCCTTTTGCGGAGACCGGAAAGGCAGCTCAAATAATGGACGATCTGTTTTTTCACCCGGCTCTCTCCAGCATGTTGGATACAATGTTTGTACTGGAGTGCTACGATTCCCGTTGAAGAGGCTAGGAGATCAGAGCTCAGAGAGGTCAAGCAAGTCACCTGCCCAAGAACACAAACATGGTCAGTCGAAAAATCAGGATTTAAACCCTAAGACAGACTGATGCCAAAGTGGTTTGTCTATATGTTGTTCGTTTTTCTGACAGAACTGGTGCTGGGAGTCCAAACCTCAGTTCCCAAGCCTTGGGGGACCCACAACTGCTCTGGGGGTGGGGGCAGGGGTTCCGGAGGGCTGGGCAGGTGGCCCCTCCTGGGCTGTCAGTGCAAGTGGAGTCAGCACTAAGCTAGTGGAGTAAAGGGCCTACTCTGTTGAAGGTGAGGAAGCGCCACCCCCAACCTTGTGCCCTTTTCTTTCTCAAATGGTCCCCAAACACCATTGGTTATCAGGGCCGCTTGGGGAACCTGTTCAAAGCACTGGCTTTAGGCACCAATGCAGACACTGCATCAGTACTGACTGCTGTTACTCCTTGCCTTGAGTAAACTTCGACTCATGCAGCACAAGGAGCAGAAAGAAGGAAAGGACCCTGGCCCTGCTAGCTTCAGCCCCAGGCTTGCTTGAACACACTGCTGCTCCCTTTCAGCCTAGGCTTCTCAGCTTCCTGTACTATCCTGTTATGATCATCAAGGTTTTCATTGGCTCATTTTTGCAAGTAAGGTTCATAGGCCATTCTCCTTAGTTTGCTTAGTCTCAAAGCACTGCTGAACCCTGCCCACCAGGACTGACTCTGCTTCCATTTGAAACACCGGTCCCATAGCTTCCTGCATCACAGCAAGACCCAAACCCCCACAATACTATAAACGGACAAATGAGAGATGGGCATCTGGTGTAGAGTCTGAAAAGTTGGATTTCAAATAAGCTTTGTGGGTTGGTGTGTTTGAAACGATAAATTCATAGCATACGCTTCCTGTCCTGACTCAGCACACATGCACAGGTACGTAGACAAAAATAAAATGTCCTCAAAGCAGTCGTCACTCTTAGTTGGTGTGGTCAGATTGACCATGTCTATTTGAGCAGGTGCCATGATAGGCTATTTCATTTTAAAAACGATCCTCACATTTCACTACATTACTATCGTGACTTGTAGGATATCAACATAAGCCTATTGGAGGCCCCTCCTCTAAGAGGAGGCACAGGCCAGTGGCCCTCTGTAACTGTCTTTCTGCATACCGATACTTCCTCAGACTAACTAACACATGTCTTGTGCGCATTTGTAAAATAAATAATGTGATGGACGAATTATTCCCTAGAGAAACTCGCACAAGAATTTGAAGTGCTCCCCGCTAACAGTGTGAAAAAAAAAAACATCCCTTTCTCTTCAATCCTAGGGCTCCCCCTGGTGGGGATGTGCAAAGGCTCACTCTCATAACTCCCTGGAGAAGGCCATCGTGCTTAGCAAAGCAGAGGGGCAGCGAAGAAGAGGAAGCCCCTCAAGGACATGGATTGACACAGTGGCTGCGACAATGGTGAGGATGGCGCAGGGACCGGGCCGTGCTTTGTTCTGTTGTGCACAGGGTCGCTATGGGTCAGAACCGATTCAATGGTACCTACTCATAACTCTGGATGTGGGTCTCTTGGCCAGGGACGAAGACCTGTACTTTTTGCTTTGATTCAGGACAAGTTACAGTGGGAGGTCTTGGGATGTTGTTGGCGTTCTTTGGTGCCACGGAGTAGGTTCCACCTAATAGCAACTCCATGTACAACAGAAGAAAACACTGCCCAGAACTGCGCCACCCTCTCAACGGTTATGTTTGAGCCTCTTGTTGCAGCCAGGGGGACACTGACAATCCATGTCGTTCAGCCACTTTTTCTTTTTTAAAAAAATATTTATTTATTTAAATCTTTTTATTGGGGGCTCATACAAATCTTTTCACAATCGATACATACATCAATTGTGTAAAGCACATTTGTACATTCGTTACCCTCATCATTCTCAAAACATTTGCTCTCCACTTAGGCCCCTGGCATCAGCTCCTCATTTTCCCCTCCCTCCCTGCTCCACACTCCCTCATGAGCTCTTGATACTTTATAAATTTTAATTTTGTCATATCTTACACTGTCCGCCGTCTCCCTTCACCCACGTTTCTGTTGTCCGCCCCCAGGGAGGAAGTTATATGTAGACCCTTGTAATCGATCCCCCCTCCCCCCCCACACACCCTCTCCCTACCCTCCCAGCATCGCCACTCTCACCACTGGTCCTGAAGGGATCATCTGTCCTGGATTCCCTGTCTTTCCAGTTCCTGTCTGTACCAGTGTACATCCTCTGGTCTAGCCAGATTTGTAAGGTAGAATTGGGATCATGATAGTGGGCGGAGAGGAAGCATTTAGGAACTAGAGAAAAGTTGTATGCTTCATTGTTGCTACATTGCACCCTGACTGGCTTGTCTCCTCCCCATGATCCTTCCATAAGGGTATGTACAGTTGCCTACAGATGGGCTTTGGGGCCCCACTCCACACTCCTCCTCATTCACAATGATATGATTTTTTGTTCTTTGATGACTGGTGGGTGCATAGGCAAATGTGATGACGAAAGCTGATGGTACCCAGCTATCAAAAGATATAGTGTCTGGGGTCTTAAAGGCTTGAAGATAAACAAGCGGCCATCTAGCTGAGAAGCAACAAAACCCACATGGAAGAAGCACAGCAGCCTGTGTGATCACGAGGTGTCGAAGGGTTCAGGTATCAGGCATTAAAGAACAGCCACTTCTTCTATTTCACTACCCCTCCACTTTATGAAGTATGACGTTCTTTTTCAGAGACTGGCCTCTCCTGATAATATGTCCGAAGTATATGAGATGAAGTCTCACCATCCTCACTTCCAGGAGCATTCTGACTACTTCTTCCAAGACAGATTTGTTTGTTCTTCTGGTAGGGCAGTGTACTTTTGATATTCTTCACCAGCCTCATAATTCAAATGCCTCAGTTCTTCTCTAGTCTTCCTCATCCAATGTCCAACTTTCACCTGTGTAGGAAGCCATTGAAAATACTGTGGCATGAGTCAGGCACACATTAGTCTTCAATGTGGCACCCTTGGTCTTCAACACCGTAAAGAGGTTTTGTGTCGCAGATTTGCCTAGTGTAATGTATCATTTGATCTCTTGGTCATTGCTGCCATGAGCATTGATTGTAGATCCAAACAACACAAAATCCTTGACAATCTTTTCTCCATTTATCATGATGTTGTCTACTATTAATCCAGTTGTGAGGAGTTTGATTTTCTTTACATTGCTCTGCAATCCATAGTAAAGGCTGCAGTCCATGATGTTCAGCAAATGTTTCACGTCCTCCTGATTTTCAGTAAGCAAGGTTGTGTCATCTGCATACTGCAGGTTGATAATAAGCCTTCCTCCAATCCTGATGCCAAGTCCTAGCAATCCATGGTAAGTCCAATATTCCTTATTTCAAAGGCATCAGTTCTTTTTAGATCTTCATTGTCCAGCTTTCATACACTCCTATCCAGTGATCGACAGTGCCACTGTGGTGTCAGGCCAGTTTAGTTCTCAAAGTGACATCTTTGTTTTTAAGCAATTTAAATGCACCACATTTACCGAGTTAATGTCAATGGATTTCTTCACTCTGCTTCCCTGGGTGTTGATTAGGAGTCCAAGGGAAATGAAATCCTTGACAACCTCAGTGTTTTATCTGTTAATCTTAATAGTGTTTATTGGTCCTGTTGTGAGGGATTTCATTTTCTTTGCACTGAAACGTAATCCATACTGAAAACCAGAGCCTTTAATTTCTATCGCTAAGTGCAAGTCATCTTCCATTCAACAGACAAGATTGTGCCACCTCTATATCAAATATTTCTAAGGAATCTTTCTCCAATCCAGATGTCGTGTTCTTTTTCATATAGTCCAGATTCTCAGAGTATTTGTTCAGCATGTAGATAAAATATGTATGGGGAAAGAACACAAGTCTACTATTCCATGCGATATTCCATTTTTCGTTTGGTGACTCTCTCTTGGGTGCATGCACAGACTCCTCATGAGCACAATGAAGTCTGCTGTGATAGGAAAGTCCCCATTCTTCCCAATGCTGCCCAGTTTGTTGATTCACAAGTTGAACGTCTCTGCATCGTCAACACACACTGAAGTAAACATCTTTCTGGTTATTTTTCTTTCAGCCAAGATTCATCTAGTTTCAGGAATGATCACTGTGGCTCCCTGTCCATTTCTAAAGCTGGCTTGAATTTCTCCCTGTGGGTACTGCAGCCATAAACTGCTGCAGCCATTCAAAAATTATCTATAGAAAAAAATTACTTGCATGTAATACTAATGATAATGTTTGATGGTTTCTGATTTCTGTTGGGTCATCTTTCTTTGGAATGGTTACAA